ATTGTGCAAGTTCTCCTTAGAATAATGAGAGGTCTGTAATTTTCTTCATAGGTATACTTCAACTATGAGAGACAAAATGAAAAAACAAAAAAAACAAAAAAAAACAATGCAGGAAATCACATTGTAGGATTTTTAAAGAATTTATTTTGTAAATTATGGTGGAAAATAAGTATATGTTCACCCGCAAACCAGCAAGATTTCTGGCTCTCCCAGACCTGTAACTTCTTCTTTAATAAGCTCTTCTGTCCTCCACTCGTTCCCTGTATTATTGGCACCTGTTTGAACTGTTATCCGTATAAAACACACCTGTCCACAGCCTCAAACAGTCACACTCCAAACTCAACCACGGCCAAGACCAAAGAGCTGTCGAAGGACACCAGGAAGAACATTGTAGACCTGCACCAGGCTGGGAAGAGTCAATCTACAATAGGCGAGCAGCTCGGTGTGGAAAACCAATTGTAAGAGAATGGAAGACATACAAGAGCACTAATAATCTCCCTCGATCTGGGGCTCCATGCAAAATCATGATCATGAGAATAGTGAGCAAAAATCCCAGAACTACACGGAGGGCCCTGATGAATGACCTGCAGAGAGCTGGGACCACAGTAACACAGGCTACCATCAGTAACACACTACACCGAGAGGGACTGTAATCCTGCAGTGCCAGGCGTGTCCCCCTGCTTAAGACAGTACAGGTCCAGGCCCGTCTGAAGTTTGCCAGAGAGCATATGGATGATCCAGAAGAGGAATGGGAGAATATCATGAGGTCAGATGAAACCAAAATAGAACATTTCTGTAAAAAACTCAACTCGTCATGTTTGGAGGAGCAAGAATGCAGAGTTGCATCCCATAAACACCACACCTATTGCGAAGCATGAGGAGGAACCATCATGCTTGGAGGCTGTTTTTCTGCAAAGGGGACAGGAGAACTGATCCATGTTGAGGGAAGAATGAACGGGGCCATGTATCGTGACATTAAGCCAAAACCGCCTTCCATCAGTGAGAGCCTTGAAGATGAAACATGGCTGGATTTCCCAGCACGACAATGATCCCAAACACACCGCCCGGGCAACGAAGGAAAAAGCATTTCAAGGTCCTGGGGTGGCCTAGCCCGTCTCCAGACCTCAACCACATAGAAAATTTGTTGAAGGTCCGTGTTGCCCGAAACATCCCTGCTCTAGAGGAGATCTGCATGGAGGAATGGGCCGAAACACCAGCTAACCTGCTGAAGACTTACAGGAAACCTTTGACCTCTGTCATTGCCAACAAAGGTTATGTTACAAAGTATTGAGTTGAACTTTTGTTATTGACCAAAGACTTATTTTCCACCATAATTTACAAATAAATTCTTTAAAAATAATTTAATTTATAAATTTTTAAATAGGAGTCAGAGTACAGTGTGTGTGTGTGTGGACAGACCTTGGTGATGCGCTTGTAGGTCTCGCTGTGGCTGGCCGTCTCGAACGGAGGGTTTCCCACCAGACACTCGTAGCACAGCACCCCGATACACCACAGGTCCACCTTCTCATCGTGTGTGTGTCCCTCGATCATCTCCGGCGGGAGGTAGTCCAGCGTGCCACACATGGTTCGGCGTCTGAAACACACACACACACACACATGACCATGTTCAGGTGTGTGTGAAGCATGTCTTCTCTTCATCATCTACACGCTTTCATCATCAGGTCACACACTCCGTCACCATGGCTTTAACTTCCACTTTACACACTCTAAGCTCTCCATGATCCTATTCCCGAACACATTCACGGCCTTCCATCATTACATGATTTCAACATGTATCCTGTTTCTCTGATCCCTGACTTTATGATCCGAATCTTGTCATGTCTTATCAGTTTAATCATGTTACCTATTCAGTTTATCTGTTTTGTTTCTTTGTCTCATATTGTGAAGTGACCTTGAGTTTGTAGAAAGGCATTCTGGGGTGTGCGTTACCGTAGCGACGGCGCATGGACGGACCAGCCGAAGTCTGCGATCTTGAGCTCTCCTCTGAAGCCCAGCAGGAGGTTCTCCGGCTTGATGTCTCGGTGGATGACCTTCTTCTCGTGACAGTAGTTCAGCGCGTCCGCCAGCTCCTCCATGTACTGGACACACAGGAGACCAGCGCCGACATCAGATCAACAGAACCGCACACTCGATTCGATTCAATTCAGTTTAATCAAATTTCAACTCAAATTTCAAATATATAGATTTAAAATGTATGATCAAATCTATGCATATGAAATTGAAATTGATTTAAAATCGAGAATCAAACCGCAGCTGTTAGTCCCAATCAAGCGCATGTCATTGATCTTAAATTATACACTAGGGCTTTAACTTTTGCCCCAAAACCATATTCGAAGTTTGTTTGTTAATATTTTAAAATTAATTATGAATATTTTGACCATTAATGCGTGGCACTAGGGCTGGGCTAAGGGGGCTTAAGCTCCGAATGTTTTAAAGTAAAGCTTAAGTGTAGCCAATCACAGACATGTCTGTTGAATATCGGCCAATCAGATGCGTTTAAATGAGTTCCTGTGCTGAAGGTGTTTTTTGCGGCTGCCTGTACACGGAAAGAGCTTGACGTGCTCGACTAACTAAACTAAACATTATTTATAGCCATGAACTGCTGTTGTAATGTATACGCTTCATTCATAATGTTTCCTCCGCTGCAAGCATGTGCGTCACGTTCTTTGAAACGACACATTATTAAACCCTTAGAAAATCGTTTTTTTAATTTGCGATTGATGCGCATGAGTGTTTGTGACTGTGGCGCTGGATCACTCACGGTGGCGGTGCGCTGGTCGTCGAAGCGTCCGCAGCGCTGGAGCTCCTTGTACATCTCTCCGCGCGGCGCGTACTCCAGAATCAGATACACACGCGTGTCGTCGCAGAAGTAGTTGTAGAACTGCAGGATGTTTGGATGCCTGTACACACACACACACACATGGATCATCTCCAACCAGTGTTAATTTCAAAACAACAACAAAAAAAATTTCACAAACGAAAGCGAGAGTATAACTACATTTTTTTGCATGGCAAAAACGATGCCGGAAATCTCTTGACATGTTTGTCATCGAATAAACACTAGATATAAATGTTCGGTAGGGACAATTTCAGAAGAGATCCAGCCAGAACTGATGGTAGATGTGCACATTTGAACTGGTGTCACATGCTGATCTACCCAGCATGCACTCGATGCCTGTATCATAAAACATTATCTCAGAAAAATAAATGCACACGTCTGTGAGAAAGAGAAGAGCAGACATGTGGATCGATCTGAATAAGAGTGACAACACAAAAGAGTTGTATTCTGTAGTTTTCTGTGTACACACACACACACACCTGAGATGCGACTGGATCTCGATCTCTCTCCTCAGCTGATGCTCGACTCCTTCCTTCTCCATCTGAGTTTTGAACAGGACCTTCAGCGCCACGATGGCCTTCAGCTTACGGTCTCGCGCCAGATACACGTTCCCAAACTTGCCCTTTCCCAGCGGACGGCCGATGTGGAAGTCTTTTATGGAGAACTTCCTGGAACAGCAGTGATTATTAAACACACTGATGTTCTTCCTCAATGTTTCACCTGGTTTTCCAGTACAAACAACTAAACGCTCTTAAATCAAGAAACATTGGATCAAGAATTGTACAAATCCATTTTCATATTCATAGTATAATTTTAAAGTGAACTTACTTTGAGCTCGACTTGACAGGAACTCTCCCAGGACCTGAAAGAAGACTGTATCTATCAAACAATCGTTTAAACGATTAAACAGTCACATGCAACAAAAATAGTGTTTTAGTTTGTGTTTATTAAGATCATTTATAATCAAGCGGACTAAACAGTGTCACCGGCCAGACAATAAAGTATCTTTGAAGAAAGGTAAACCTCCTTACATCCATATTGCACTCATCCACATCTTTATAAAGAAAGTTTGCTTCTGACACATTCTCAAGGTTTTACCTGAAACAGTGTGTGTGTCTGGATTCATCTCACCAGCAGTCTGAAACACACACACAACATGAGCGTCAGACACACAGCAGTGACGTAGAGCTGGAGAAGAGCACGTGATCTCTGTAATCTGCACTATGACTCGCTAAATGAATATAAATAACATGTTGTTGTTGTTGTGTCACCTGTGTTTGCAGAGCTCTGGGTTCCCTGTTCTCTTTATTCTGATTAAAGAAACACAAACATCTCAAACTCAACACACACCGAACAGATAAAGCACTTCCATCAATGAAAATAAGACAACCGTGATAAAAAAAGGCACTTATATCAATAAAAATAAGATAGCTCACATATGGGAAACTTAACCAAACGAAATACAACTATTAACGTTACTATATGTCTGAGTTCATTTAGCAGTCGTAGTTTCACTCGCACAATCAATGGCGCTCAAAGAGCTTGATTTAATCCGGATCAATACCTCCGCTACACTGACATCTCCTACGCTTATAAATATATAAACATATACTGTAAATAAATGATCAATATGCGGTTATTATACCTGCATGATGAGGACTCCTCTGTTTTTGTGTCTGCGCCTCAGCTCTTCCGTTTAACCGCCTGGATTTAAAATGAAACCCAGCCGCTCTGCTATTGGCCCAACCGCCGTAAACGCCGTCGCTGATTGGCCTGTTAAAAAGAACACTCATTGGGCCGCGACCTGCCAATCATTTTGGCCCCGCCTCAAAGATTTTACACAAACAGCGGCAGACTGTAGATCATAAAATGTAAAACTGTGTGTGAAATTAAATATATATCTTTTTCCTGTGTATTTGTACCTGTTCTTAACATATATGTATATTACCGTGATTATATATGTAGTGAAATCCCATTTCCGACACATAAAAGAGAAAACAATGCTGTGATATATACATAATATGACATAAAAGTCGAAAGTATAAGTCATTGTTTCAACATGAATAGTCATTACTTTATAATTATTACTTTTATTTGATTTTTTCAACAGTAAATGTAATCATTTTGACATTTTAAATCACAATGTTTTGTTACAATGCATTCAATTGATTTTCATGTTACAGAAATAGACGTCAATAAATATGTGTACAACTTCTTTGTATAAAATGTATATTATATCCTCAAAACTATAAAAGAAGGAGAGGAGAACATGAGACCGTCTCGATCTGTCCAGCAAACTCTTCATCGAGTGTTTTCTTTTGCGGGGTCTTCATGTCCTGAAGAATCTCACACTGACTTCAGTGAAATGAACAGAAAGAACTCAAAGAGCGCTGGAAACACACTGTCACACACACATAATGATGAATTATGACTAATGCAGCTCCATTCAGAGGGAAAATGTCAATTTTCAATACATTTAAGTCGAGTCTTTATTAATTCTTTATTAGTACTTTATTATTATCACCTGGAATTCATTTAATATAGCAAAGCTTGTGTAGATATAATGCATTTATATTTTACAATCATGCATTTCTTGGACATAGGAAAGCTTACATAATACTTATAAATGGTTTTAAAGTGCCCTATTACACTATATTAAAGGCTCCTGATGTTGTTCAGTTTCCTCCAAGATCAAACACACTTTATTTCCTTATAATCTCCACTGCAGCTTCAGCTCTTTCCTCTCTCTAAGCCCCGCCTCTCTGAGAGCTGCTCTGCTGTGATTGGTCAGGAAGCAAACGCTCATTATCATATCTTGATCACAGTGATACGAACGATGGCGTGGGGTTTACCGTATCAATCTCAGAAAACAGGGTCTTCTCCACACGAACAACACGAGCCGAACTCTTCCAGTCTCAGATACACTACAGTGTTTGAGGGCGGAGCTAAGAGACGCTGCTCAGCCAATCAACACCACAGGCTGCCATTATGCTAATGAGGTACAAGCCTACATAGGAAGTGAGACTGAATTACTGACGACTCATTTCAGTTCAGAATCGATTCTTTCTTATCTTTTACATTTACAAACAGATGTAATACACACTGCATGAAATCTAAAAAAAGCATAACAGGGCACTTTAATACTAAAGAATAAAAATATGTAAGGAGAAGACAGACCTGCAGAGGCTGAATATGATCCAGTACGTCCAGCAGGGCCATTGCTGGAACACAAAGAAGGACAAACTGATGCAGGCGCTGGAGTGAGTGACCAGAGCTGAGCCGACGTTCAGGAAAACACCTCAGCCAATCAGAGACATTCGGGAGAACACCTCAGCCAATCAGCAGACTGATCGCATGAAGTAGCGTGTGTATGACACGCCAATTCGTATTTCCATTTTCGGCGTGCTATCAAGACGCATAATCGCCTTTCAAGCGTGTTTATGAACGCCGTTGACTTAACGTTATTACTGTATATATAAATATATGACTTACCTCAACCCCGTCCCTAAACCTAACCGTCACTGGGGTTAATGGCATTTATGACTGGAGATTTGACTGCGTGTACTGACACGCGGACGTTAATGGCGTAGACATATACGCGGATACACTCGGATACACGCGGATAGCTCAAAATGCGTAGAGATAACATGCCACCTGACTCGAAAGTGGTGTATATGTTTACGCAAAAGTCATGATGTCATGTTGCAATCAGAGACATTCAGGAGAACGTTCAAAGCGTTTGTTGCTCGAGGCGCGGGACTGCACACGTGACTGATGTAAGGATACACAGAAGAGCCTGATTACTGTTGAACATGGAGCTTCCCGAGAGAAATCCAACCAGCTCAATGAGGAACAGAGCCAGAGTCACCGACAGCGCCACCACCAGCCTGACACACACACACACACACACACACCAGCATCATCAAAGACCAACTGAATAAAAAACATTACATCCTGCAAAAAACATTTGCTACACTGTGTTATATTTCTATTCCTGTGTTGATATTTTCTTTACTTTTGTTCATATGAGCTGACAAATATAAATGTGGTTGTGAACTGGTGTGTGTGTGTGTGTGTGTTACCGTGTATCTTCTGTTCTGAACTGGTCCTCGGTGAAATCCAGTGGCAGACATGACTGGATGTTATTCTCCTGTAACACACACACACACTCTGAGTTCTGTCATTTGACTCCCTAAGCAGAAGCTGTGTGTGTGTGTGTGTGTGTGTGTGTGTGTGTGTGTGTGTGTGTGTGTGTGTGTGTGTGTGTGTGTGTGTCCTCACGCGAGACCAGTAGATGGTGATGATGATGACCAGGTGTGCGGAGAGTGTGAGGAAGCGCGCAGGAACGAGACTCTTCACCACCGACATCCCAATGCCTTCACATAAACACACACACACACACACACACACACCGTATGAACAACAATAACAACACACATATAGATAAACACACCAACAGTAAAAACAACAAAACACATACATATAAACATACACACACTTACAGTATGAACAACGACAACAACATCCATAACTCAAACACACACACACTCACAATAACACTCATACAGTCCAGTACTTTCTCCACTAGTCGCGGTCTCGCTCTAAATATGTTCAAAACCTTATAAATGTGTGTTTCAGTTATTTACATGACATTTGTTACCTTTATTAGTCCATAATCAACTTTAGTGAAAAGAGATTTATTTACACTCACATCATCATGTTCAGCCACAGACGCGCATGTCCGCGTTACCACAGCAACGGCCTGAACTCCGCGCTGAGCTCATATCGCCTCCTGCCGGCGCGGAGTAACACACACACACACACACACACACACACTGAAGGTGCATATTGTGCTTGTAGGCGTACTGTTTTCATTTTCCCCAATACAATTTTCCCTCCATTTTAAATTTTAAAATCTCAAAAAAATCTTTCTTGAATTCCCCCAAGGCGCATAGACTCACTGTATAGACACACACACTGTAAAGACACACTGCATCTTGGGACAGCTCTGGAAAAAAGCTACCAAAAGAACTCTGATTCATCAAAGCATTGCACAGTTAAATTAAAGAATACATCAGGCAATGGCCATTTCTACGAGTTGACTAACAGGACATATAGCTTCTATAGACCATTTCACAAGATGTAAACAACACTGGTCCAGAAGCACTTCCTGTTTCTCTATTTTAACACTACATAAAAGCTGGGATAAAATACAACCAACAGAACATTTAAAACTGAATCAAAAAGTTAAACAAACATCTTTAAGATGTTTTCTTTACATGTAAAATAAAGAAAACAGTTACAAACTGAAACAGGAAGTGCTTCTGGACCAGTGTTGTTTACATCTTGTGAAATGGTCTATAAATCTTTACACTTTTACAAACTTTCAACTTTTAGTCTTTAAAATGTTTTTACCTCATCAGAATGGTACACTCGGTGGCTTTCGTGGAGATGATCAGGGAAAGCTCAATTATACTCACACCTGATCATCACGGGTTAAAACATGAGGACATACAGAGCAATGTTTTGGAGAACTATAATCTATAAATCACCATTACTCTTATAATGTCCATATATAGATATATAAAGTAAGTTATTATGAATGAAATACTCAGCTTATAAGGACATATGGGACACACAGCCCTGCTGAACTGTGTAATATCTATATTCAGGACTATACAGACATCTATAGTTAATATTCAACACTATTATTGATCTCCTGGATCGACAGCGTTATATGAGAACTGAACTGAACTGGACGATGACATCACGGTTTTCTCCAGAGTGGCGATATATATATATGAAGAGTTCAGATGCAAAAGCCTCTAAATGCCATTTGAAATTTTCTTCTTTAATGATGATTTTTTATCAAACTTGTATATTTAAGTTCAGTAATTTCACTTAAATAACAATTAATATGTAATCCTCATTGCCATTTAAGTGAAATTACTGAACTTAAATATACAAGCTTGATGAAAATCATCATTAAAGAAGAAAATTTCAAATGGCATTTAGAGGCTTTTGCATCTGAACTCTTCATATATATATATCGCCACTCTGGAGAAAACCGTGATGTCATCGTCCAGTTCAGTTCAGTTCTCATATAACGCTGTCGATCCAGGAGATCAATAATAGTGTTGAATATTAACTATAGATGTCTGTATAGTCCTGAATATAGATATTACACAGTTCAGCAGGGCTGTGTGTCCCATATGTCCTTATAAGCTGAGTATTTCATTCATAATAACTTACTTTATATATCTATATATGGACATTATAAGAGTAATGGTGATTTATAGATTATAGTTCTCCAAAACATTGCTCTGTATGTCCTCATGTTTTAACCCGTGATGATCAGGTGTGAGTATAATTGAGCTTTCCCTGATCATCTCCACGAAAGCCACCGAGTGTACCATTCTGATGAGGTAAAAACATTTTAAAGACTAAAAGTTGAAAGTTTGTAAAAGTGTAAAGATTTATAGACCATTTCACAAGATGTAAACAACACTGGTCCAGAAGCACTTCCTGTTTCTCTATTTTAACACTACATAAAAGCTGGGATAAAATACAACCAACAGAACATTTAAAACTGAATCAAAAAGTTAAACAAACATCTTTAAGATGTTTTCTTTACATGTAAAATAAAGAAAACAGTTACAAACTGAAACAGGAAGTGCTTCTGGACCAGTGTTGTTTACATCTTGTGAAATGGTCTATAAATCTTTACACTTTTACAAACTTTCAACTTTTAGTCTTTAAAATGTTTTTACCTCATCAGAATGGTACACTCGGTGGCTTTCGTGGAGATGATCAGGGAAAGCTCAATTATACTCACACCTGATCATCACGGGTTAAAACATGAGGACATACAGAGCAATGTTTTGGAGAACTATAATCTATAAATCACCATTACTCTTATAATGTCCATATATAGATATATAAAGTAAGTTATTATGAATGAAATACTCAGCTTATAAGGACATATGGGACACACAGCCCTGCTGAACTGTGTAATATCTATATTCAGGACTATACAGACATCTATAGTTAATATTCAACACTATTATTGATCTCCTGGATCGACAGCGTTATATGAGAACTGAACTGAACTGGACGATGACATCACGGTTTTCTCCAGAGTGGCGATATATATATATGAACTAAATTAATAACTTTTTTACAGCAGAAATGAAGAACTGACTTCAGCTGGACTGTGAGGATCTTTTCTCGAGTAATAGTGTGTGTGAGAGTGTGTGTGTGTTTGTAACTGAGCGCATGTGTATTTTATTAACGTGCTCAACAGTGTAAAGAAGCGTGAGCCTCGGCTGTGTTCAGATGCACTTTATTATACAGTATAAATCTTGTTCTCCGCACGTCAGGCTTGTGCCGAGGTGTGTGTGTGTCTGTCCTCATCAGTCTTTGTTGACGGCGCGCGTGCAGCGGGTGAAGTGTGTGACGCAGGCGGGGAGCATGGAGCGCAGCGCGCGTCTGAGGCTGGGGGCGGGGTCAGAGTCGCTCGCCGGCGGTCGGTCGCTCTCGTCAGATCTCGCCTCGTCCTCCACAAACTCCACCTCCACGAACTCCAGCAGGCGCAGCTGCGTCAAACACCTGCACACACACACACACACACACACACACACACACACACACAATATATGAGCAGAACTCAGTGGATATGTGACTGGTTTTGTGTTCCTGTGAGTTAGTGAGTGTGTGTGTGTGTTCTGGTGAGTGTGTGAGTGTGTGTGTGTGTGTGTCTCCACCCACCTGCAGCTCCTGAGCACCATCATCTGCGTGAGTCTGCATGTGCGCAGCCGCAGCGAGCGCAGGTCCTGCAGACGGCCGAGGGACAGCAGACCCGGCCCGACCTCCTTCCCCCCGAGGCTGAGGCGCTCCAGACCCGGCCAGCCCTCGCCCAGGCCCAGCGCCACCATCTGGGTCCGGCTGCCCGTCTGCAGCTCCAGGTGTGTGAGGCGCGCGAGTGTGTGTGGGCCGGGCGGCACGCAGCTCTTCAGGCCCGCCACGGTCACGCGGATCAGGTCGCGCAGCTCCAGCCGGGTCAGGCCTCGCCACGCGCTCAGGCTGCGCAGGTGCTGGTCCGAGAACGACGGCACGCTGTCCAGAACCAGCGTCTCCACGCCGTCACCCTCCGAGAAGAAGCCGGCCGGCACCTCACAGAAGTGCAGCTCCAGAACCTGCGACAGAAGAGACCATCAGTCTACACACACACACACACACACACACACACACACACACACACACACTCACAGAAGTGCAGCTCCAGAACATGCGACAGAAGAGTCTATCAGTCTACACATCTAACACACAGATTTATGCATCTGAATAAATAAGCTTGATGTTCGTTATGATAGGATAATATTTGGTGGAGACACAACTATTGAAGATCTGGAGTCTGAGGTGCAGAAATCAAAACTCCTTTAAAGGAGTAGTTCACTTTTGAAAAAACTTTTGCTGATAATTTACTCTCCCCGTGTCATCCAAGATGTCCATGTCTTTCTTTCTTCAGTCGAAAAGAAATGAAGGTTTTTGATGAAAACATTCCAGGATTTTTCTCCATATAATGGACTTCAATGGGGACCAAACGGTTCAAGGTCCAAAAGAGAGTTTCAGTGCAAACTGTTCAAATGTCTTTAAACGACTCCAGACGATGAATAAGGGTCTTATCATGCGAAACGATCGCTCATTTCAAAACTTATTCCAAAAATGTAACTTTTCTAAGGACAAATGCTAGCCTTGCTCTATTCTGTGAGGCGCGTTTGTAACGTCACGTAATACGTAATTACGTTCAAAAGGTCACGGGCGACGTAGCCGGAAGTACAGAGTCAGTGTTTACAAGTTGAACGCATAGGTTGAACGTGCAAACTAACTCAAACGCCGTTTACAAAAAAAGGAATTAAAAGGTAAAACAACGATGTCGGACGATTTTGATTCTGTACTTCCGGCTACGTCGCCCGTGACCTTTTGAACGTAATTACGTATTACGTGACGTTACAAACGCGCCTCACAGAATAGAGCAAGGCTAGCATTTGTCCTTAGAAAAGTTACATTTTTGGAATAAGTTTTGAAATGAGCGATCGTTTCGCATGATAAGACCCTTATTCATCGTCTGGTGTCGTTTAAAGACATTTGAACAGTTTGCACTGAAACTCTCTTTTAGAACTTGAACCGTTTGGTCCCCATTGAAGTCCATTATATGGAGAAAAATCCTGGAATGTTTTCATCAAAAACCTTCATTTCTTTTCGACTGAGGAAAGAAAGACATGGACATCTTAGGATGACACGGGGGCGAGTAAATTATCAGCAAAAGTTTTTTCAAAAGTGAACTACTCCTTTAAAGTTGTGCATTTATGTTCACGATTGCTGCATCCACTCACAGAAACACATGTGTTATATATATACGGTAGGAAATATCTTCATGGAACATGATCTTTACTTAATATCCTAATGATTTTTGGCATAAAATAAAAATCTATAATTTTGACCCATATACTGTTTTGTTGGTGATTTCCACAGACACACCCGCGCGACTCGAGACTGGGTTAGTGATCCAGAGACACACACTAGAGATCTCTTGGCCAAATAACTGGCGTCAGTAAACCACAAAAGGGGAAAAGCATGATTTGTAAATGTACACAGATAAACGAGCGCTGGATCCTGATTCCCGGAGCGCACCTGCAGTGAGAGCGGCAGCAGCCGGACGCTGGGTAACGGCCGCAGATCTGTGTGTATGAGGCAGAGTCTGCGCAGACGAGGACACTTGGAGCACAGCGCGCGCAGCCAGGACTCGCTGAGGAACACACCGGCGCGCGCAGACAGGAGCAGACCGCGCAGACGCAGGAGACGCAGCCCGTGACCCAGATACTGACGCAGCAGAGCCCACAGCACTCGAGACGTCACCTGCAACACACACACACACACACACACACATCAGGAAGTGGTGTAAGTATGGCCTGGAAAGGTGCAGGTTAAGGAAATGCTCGATTCAGATCTGCACGTCCAAATATTTACTAAAGTAGAAAAAGGCCTTAATATATGAAGAGTTCAGATGCAAAAGCCTCTAAATGCCATTTGAAATTTTCTTCTTTAATGATGATTTTCATCAAGCTTGTATATTTAAGTTCAGTAATTTCACTTAAATGGCAATGAGGATTACATATTAATTGTTATTGAAGTGAAATTACTGAACTTAAATATACAAGTTTGATAAAAATCATCATTAAAGAAGAAAATTTCAAATGGCATTTAGAGGCTTTTGCATCTGGACTCTTCATATTATGTTTAATTTTCTAGGGAAATACATAAAATAAAATGAGAGAGTTATTGTGTGTGATTCTTATTCAAATGTATGTTAATCTAATTTATTCATTAATTTTAATATTATTGTTTATACATGTAGTTTTCCTCTAGACTTTTCCCCGGCCCACTTCAGCCTGAAACTCTTGAACTACACTACAGTAAACTACACTTCACTACAGTAAAGTACAGTAGAGCACAAAACAACAACATAAAGACAATAAAGATGTTGAAACTCTCACTCTTTTCCATGTGGACAGATCGACAGCTCTCCACAGTCTCTGGTCCTTCACCAGCTGCTTCCAGCGCCTGCACACTCTACACACACACATATAATATATACATATGAAAACATCACACTCTTTTGTTTGTTTGTGTTTGATGACTTCCGGTGTCTGATCGCCGTCTATTATGTGACTGAAACGACAGGATCTTTCATAGTTGTTACAGTAACGTTAAATATCTGCTAACGGATGTTTCTACATGATCATCATTACATAAATTAATTCAATAAAACATTATATGCGATAAAAAACAAAACAAAACAAACACTGTCACTGACCGAATTGCACTCACGTGTAACTAACACAGTTATTGTATGACATGACGCGATATTGTACCTGGAGTTGCGCACGAGTTCTCGCACATTTAAATAAGATAAAATATCAATTAAAATGTTTTCGGGAAAAAAGTCCAGAGTGTAGCATCTCACCGCGTCCATTTCAGTGCGGAACCTTCATCGCCCACGACACACTGACGGACACATTTACCGGTGACACACTGTTTCCGGTGAGAATTGTCATTATTTGTTTATGTCAAAATAAGCTGTTTGAGAGCTGTTGCTGATCAATCGGTGAAAATATCTTAATTTTCTGCGAATATTCAAAATAAAACTGTTTAAAAAAATACTTTACAGATATGAATGCCTGTAGAAAATAAAATGTTGTTAACATTGCATCGATATTTATTTAAATATCAATATGTAATAAGTCCATCCGTACATATTTGTTTACTTATATTTATTGTTTGTTACACTTTTTCGTCTGATGTCTCTCTATGTTTGGTTTGATTTGTGATGTTGTTTTTGATCACCGGAAGTGGTCTAGTCGGGCGCATGCGCAGTGTGGAAGGCAGCGCTAGCGGTGCAGAGCATCACAAGCGCGAGGAGTTTCTGCAGCTTTATTTATTCAAGACTGTTAATTTGTGTGTTTATGAGTCTACATAATGGCCGGAATTAAAGGTGAGCGCATTAATCTGTGTGTGTGAGTGTGTTTGCGGTGTGTAGTGATGACGCGGAAGTGTTTGGTGTTCATTAGCGGCCGCAGATTTACATCCACCATCGAAAACAAAACCTCTATATAAACCTCTCCACAGAAACACATACATGTATACACACTCTCTCTATATATGTGTGGGCTACTTTCTAGAGTCATATAAAGTTTAAAATACATACAGAGAGAGAGTGAGAGTGTGTGAGTGAGTATACTATGTGAAAGACAGAGATAGTATGTGTGTTATGTATCTGTGCGTGTAAGAGAGTGTGTATGTTTGTATATATCTACACACACATATTAAATAAAATCTTTTATGCTAGATGTGATCAATAGGTTTGACAGCACTGATTTATATATATATATATATATATATATATGTGTGTGTGTGTGTGTATATGTTGGTAATGTAAATCTGCTGTTCCTCAGCTCTCATCAGCCTGTCGTTCGGAGGAGCGATCGGCCTCATGTTCCTCATGCTGGGCTGCGCTCTGCCCGTCTACAAGTAAGTGAGTGTGTGTGTGTGTGTGTGTGTGGTCATGTGATCTGTGTGATTGAGTGTGTGTGTGGGGGTCATCATGTGATGTGTGTGTGTGTGTGTGTGTCTCTGTGCAGTGAGTACTGGCCTCTGTTCCTGCTCTTCTTCTACATCCTCTGCCCGATCCCGTACTGCATCTCCCGGCGTGTGGTGGACGACTCCGACTCGGCTAGTAATGCCTGTAAAGAGCTGGCCATCTTCCTGACCACGGGGATCGTCGTGTCGGCCTTCGGGCTGCCCGTCATCTTCGCCCGTGCCGCTGTGGTAAATGCACACACACACGTTCTCTCGCTGTGGTGAATAACCAGACCGTCCTGTCAAAGTCAATATCACTATATATATATATATATCATATATATACACAAAATAATTATACACAGTGCACACACATATATGATGTAAACACAAACTTTTATTTTGGATGCGATTTAATCGCGATTAATCGTTTGACAGCCCTAATTTTTTATTAAAACTAGCATCATAAAGTCTGATATTTTTCTGCTTTGAGCAGTGATGGAGCGATACTTGACTCCTCTTAGGAGCATATCAAACAAAAACGGCTCCTCGGACAAAATCAAATGTAATGTAGTTTATTTTAGTTCAGATTAACATTTGAGGGCAGCGAATGTATTCATAATGTCAAAATAAAACCGACGTGATGTTACTTGAAAGCATTATAGCCGATTATTCCTGCCACACTTCCATGGTTACAGTGAGTGTTATGATGTGGATCTGTGGACGCGGGATAGTTCGCTCAAGGCACAGTTGGGTTGGCGTGTGTTAATGTGGAGCCCTGTGTGTGAGGTTTGTGTGGATGTGTGTGTGTGTGCAGATCAAGTGGGGCGCGTGTGCGCTCGTCCTGACGGGGAACATCGTGATCTTCGCCACCATCCTGGGCTTCTTCCTGGTGTTCGGCTCCAACGACGACTTCAGCTGGCAGCAGTGGTGAAGCTCATCTCGCCTCGTTATCTGTTACTGACATCACTCTCGTATTTATAACGCCGCCCACTCATAGATGCAGGAAATCAGTGCAATAATTTTGTTCATTTTAGATCCTTCTGACATTCTGGATTGTTGAGTTTCGTGCACGACTGAATTCAGGTGGTCGAACGAACACTGGTGACGTCAGATTGTTTCGTCCGAGCGGAAACTTTCAGCTTTACGACTCTGGTGTGTTTTCTGTTCCCAGCTTTCTTTTTATTCACGACTTATTTATTTGTTCCTGTGTCGCATTAAACGTGAGATTGTAGATGAAGCTCGTCATGTTCACGTCGATTCGAATGATTCTGTTAGTGTTTGTTTTTTGCGCTTGGCATCGTGAGATTTCCCAGACATGTTTCTTTGGAAAAAGCAACAAGAAAGGAAGTGTTTATCTGCAAACTATGAAACTCAGATCATGTTTGATTTAAAAGCATGTAGACTAGCTCAGATTCATCATTTAAGGTAAAAAAGAAAGACTTTCTGAGCAAGTGTTTAAAGTCAACATGGACTCAAATGACACATTTCTGCTCTTTTTGGCAATGGTTCATCTGTGCATGTTATTAAATAAAAAAAAGTTGGCCTTCGTAATCTTTAATCAAAATGTAATACTTTTTAAGGCAAGACACCCCAAGTGAATGGGGGGGAAATGAATAGATATCACCATACTTCCAAAACTTGATTACATTAACAATTAACAATTACAACAACAAAAAAAGTTTTCTGAAATGTTATGTATAATATGTACGGAGGCGTATTGCATTCACTTGAAGAAAAAAAATCTACTCTGTTTTTCTGAATTAACGAGTTAATTTTTCCTTGTAAAAAAATTGCTCTGTTTTTCTGAATTAATGAGTTAATTTTTTGTGAGAATTTTTTTTGCTGTTTTTCTGAATTAATGAGTCAATTTTTTGTGAGAAAAAAAAATTTGCTCTGTTTTTCTGAATTAACGAGTTAATTCAGAAAAACAGAGCAAAAAAAAAAACATGAAAAATTAACTCATTAATTCAGAAAAACAGAGCAAAAAAAAAACATGAAAAATTAACTCATTAATTCAGAAAAACGGAGCAAAAAAATCCATGAAAAATTAACTCGTTAATTCAGAAAAACACAGCAAAATATTTTTTTCTCATGAAAAATTAACTCATTAATTCAGAAAAACACAGCAAAAAAAAAATTCCATGAAAAATTAACTTGTTAATTCAGAAAAACTGAGCAAAAACTTTTTTTCTCATGAAAAATTAACTCATTAATTCAGAAAAACAGAGCAATTTTTTTTCTCATGAAAAATTAACTCATTAATTCAGAAAAACAGAGTAGATTTTTTTTCTTCAAGTGAATGCAATACGCCTCCGTAAATATGCACTGATTTGGGTACGTTAAATCTAATATGTCAACAAAATCAAACAAGAATTTAGAATTTTGTTTACATATTAGAGTTAAAAGTTTTAATAAAAGGCATTTTGGATTTTTGAATTTTTATGTTGTTTTTTTTTGTAATAAATATTGCATAAAAATCAGGCGAATGATATATTCACAAACCCCTCAGTAAAAACCTTCACAATATGGACAGGAATAAAACTGTAAGTTTTGGTGTGTGTAAGTTCTGCTGTAGTAGAGAAAAAAACAATTTAATGACACGACCTGTAATAGAAATCTACTGACCGTAATAGATAAAGTGCACTAAAATACACTCTTAAATTTATTTTAGGTGTTTTCGTTCCACTGTTCTGGAAAACACTTTATGAAAGCCAAAAAGAGCAAAATAAAAAAGCATTTTTGCCTGTAATGTCTCGCCGTGACACTTCCTGATTCCTCATGGATAAACCCAAGCTCTGTACTTTTTCATCCTGTTCTCGAAATCAGTGCGGTTTCAGTGCTAGAATGTTTTATAAATGCGGTTTCATGTTGACTTTAATGCTTTGAAGATATGTTCTGTTATTTTATATCTTACTGTGCAGAAATGGCACAAGTAACATTGTAACTTTTGTTTCCCCTCCTGTTCTTTTTTAAATAAATGCCATTTTTTGAAAGAAAAGGAAGAGTTTTACATTTGTTGTACACGACCACTGACCTTTGTTTTTTTGACTGACCCCATTATTAGTTCCATCACTCAAAAGATTACCAGAAGACTCAAATAATATAACATGTAAAGGTTGAAATGTCCGTGGGCCGCTCGTGTCTTCTGTCAGTATGTGTGGAATGAGGGAGAGACGCTGAAACACGTCTGCGATACAGAAACACCTGCCACATTCACCTCAGATTTCATTAATAATTCACATTTGTGTGAAGACATGTTTGGGTCACTAACCTAGAGGCGGAAGAAAAAAAATATGCATACAAAAATGCCTATATATAATATATACAGTATATATACAAAATATCTCAGACATTTAGAATTTTTTACTGTAAAATGCTGAAGGAAATCAAAAAGTTTCAGAACAGCGCCACCTTTTGGTCACAATTTATTATAAAAATGTAAAATATTCTAATGGCTATTGATTAATTACATGAATTGATTGAATACAAACATAACATTACCCATTGTCACCTTACTCAGACAAAACTACACAACACCTATTTAGTAACAGTGCCATCTCGGTCTAAAGTTATAAGCAATTTAGTCCTTACAAATGAGTGTTTTTCAGATTTTTTTAGCCATTTTTACTAAAATAATCTAAAAAATGTCTTTAACTTGCCGTGCCTTTTTAACGCTTGACCTCTTAATTGTTGCTTGCAGTCATACACATTAGCTATATGAGTGGGACACATTCCTGCCAGGTTGCGTGTGTGTATTTGAATATTTGGAGAGAAAGAGAGAGTGTTTTCTTCGCCCTAAAGCGAAAGAGATCCATCATCATGGTGTGTCGGAGCCGCAGTGAAGGACTGAGACACGAGCACAGCCGAACACACACTGGAGGTTATGAGGAGGTTTTTCAGAGTTGACAGAGATGAAGATTACGGTCAGATTCAATATCTCACTGCCAAATGCATCCGACTGTCTCAGGAGAAAGGTAAGAGTCACACGATCAGATTCAGCGATGAAAACAACTTTAAAGCTGTTTAGATTATGTAGATCAGCTAAACTCAAGAAGCCGGACAATGCTAAAAACAACCATATTTTAGTTTAAATATATTATTTGCTACAATTCTGTCATTTATTTGACAATACATCATGCATTAACTAATAATGAGCAAAAACATTTTTCATTACGTATTCATATTCGTTAATCTTTGTTGATAAAAAAGGGAAATTCTCTGCTGATTTTCTTGCCCTGTTTGTTCCAAACCTGTTTGAGTTTATTTGGTCTGTTGAGCACAAAATATATTTTGATGTACACTTGTTGGTCCACTGACTAAAATATAGTAAAAAAAAAAAAAAAAGCATACTATGGAAGTCAATGGGGACAATTAAGTATTTTTAGTGTTATTTCATGTTTTGGGACCTGATTGTAAATTGTCACCATTTTGTCAGAATTACATTCTTTATTTGCATTATTAAACTTTTACTTTTAAACGTTTTTTTAACTTTTACTATTAAACGTTTACTCCTTTTTAACCTTGTTCCCTTTTTTCCATCCATCATCTCTTATTGGAACAACATTTTTGATGGTATTAAGTGGTCGTTTGTTTGGTCACTCCCACCGAAATACTTTTTAAAACAATAAAAATCATATAAATATCTTAAAAATGATTTACAGATTTTATCTGAAACTGAAGATCACTCTTTCTGGAGTAATGTTAATCTACAAAATGTGTGGGATCTTATAGACACGTTCTTTTGGGGTTTTATATTAATGACAACCAATTTTTAGCATTAACCTCCTTTTATTTATTGGAACGTTTTATATCCATAATTGTAAATATACAAGAAGTAAACCGCGCTTTGACACCTCAAACAAGAATTTAATTTGTACTTCATTACAATTTCAGTGTGCCTGTAAATAAGAAAGCTATAAAACATCTAGAATTTGTGCCATGTTTAAAATTCTTTCATGATATGCTTTTATTCCTGTTTTTTCTTCTTTGTTTCTCTTTTCTATCTATTGGCAACTAATTTTCAATTGCCTATGTAAATTAGGCTTCTTTATATCATCTTTCTTGTTGACTGTTAAATTATAACTAGATTATTGTGTGAAAGTTTCTGTTTTTGTATTTTATGTTTGTTAAAATTTGCAATAATAGAACTTTGCAGTGCGTCTGTGCCTCTCTCTCTCTCTCCTTCTCTCTCTCTCTCTCTCTCTTTCTCTTTCTCTCTCTCTCTCTCTCTCTCTCTCTCTCTCTGTGTGTGTTGCAGCGGCGCTCCAGCGTGAGCTGCTGGTGTCTCGCGAGCGTCAGCAGGCTCTGCAGGTGGAGATGGAGGCTCTCTCAGTGCGAGTGTGTCATAAAGAGCAGATCTGCGTTGAGATGAGCATCAAAAACCAGCAGCTGATGGAGAGATTTCAGCAGGTACAGCCGAACACACACCATAATTTAATATCACTGGATGAAACTTGTACCACAATGACACTAGTGAAACGGCTTCTCGAACAAGAACAAATGTAGGGGGCGGGGCTTGATTTTGTCCGTGGGGAGTTGATTGGATGGTTGTGGTTCGCTATTGGTGGATTGGTGGCTATTGCCCCGCCCACATCATCAGAGGAGAGGAGATGCAAGAGGGAGGGGAAGTTATTTTGTTTAAAGGCTTATTGTAGAAAATTGCACACAGTTCAATACTCAGGGTGTAACGATACTCTCATGATTCAATACATATCACAATACAATATTATTAAAAGGATAACAAAAAATGTACTGTTGGCTAAGATGGTAAATTTGGTCTTACATTGTGTGTGTAAATGAATAGTCTTGGACTTGGACTTAATGAACAATAAAGACAGCAGAATAACAATATTCATGAAACTGAATCATTTTAGATGAATATGATGATCTCTGTCACTGATATATTTAAAATAACGTCGGCCATTTTTTACTGGTAACATCAGAGATTTGGCATTATCAGGACACACAAGAATTCCCCCATTACATTATTATATATTATATTCAACAAGATACATAATGTATTTTTGTATTGTGAAATATTGTGACATGATATATTCTACTTACCTAATAAATACTATTAAAAACATATGGAGTGTACAGTATGTACTGTGCAGAATGGCAGCAGTCCGTATAACCTGTGTGTGTGTGTGTGTGTGTGTGTGTGTGTGTGTGTGTGTGTGTGTGTGTGTGTGTGTGCGCAGGAGCAGGCTGTGACGGAGGACAGGTGTAAAGTCGCTTCACTCCTGAGTCTCCAGATGGAGCAGGTGAGCGGTGACCTACAGCGGCTGCAGGGCTCAGAGACGCAGCTGATGGGCCTGGTGGACGAGCTGCACCAGGAGGCCCAGCTCAGAGCCCAGCAAGCCGAGGTCCTGGAGACGCGGCTCCACGAGGAGACCCAGTCAAAGGCACAGCTGGTGGAAGACCTTGAGATGCAGCTAAACAGGTATATAACTGCATAAAATGCGCATATATACGCATATTTATTGAATGGTGTTCACGGAGTGTATAAGCCATTAAAGTATATATTCTGCTTGATCAGTAAATCCCTGGAGCTGATAGAGCTGCACAGCACCACCCAGAGGACGCTGGAGGAACTGCGACGGGAGCATTCGGAGAGTCTCGGGAAACTCCGGGAAACGGCCGAACAGTTCGAGTGGT